TGATTAGGTAGAGGATCATCAGGGGGTCCTTTGTCCCTCTTTGGGGGGAAACTCCCACTGGGTTTAAATCTGGGACTCTCCACCATTTGACCTTAGAACTGAAGAAGCTTCTCGGATCAGAGGTGAAACGTCTTCAAGCAACTCAAAGAAGTCCAGACGCTTTTCTTTCCAAGCTCCCAAGACCAGAATTTTCTGGCTATTTTTTGATGGGTTGGGTCTTACAGGATTAAGTCTCACTGCGCCTCTGTCATTCTCCTTTGCAGAGGCCTTTGTGCAACCCATCTCCTCCCCATCTCCATTTCTAATCACTCAAGCTCCATTTAAGCCACCAGCATCTAGGCTCCGGGGAGTCCTGCTCTAATCCCTTTCACAGCTGGGGTTCCGTTCACCCAAGAAGGGCCATCGAACTCTAACCACCAAACACCTATCTATAGTCTGTTCATCAATAAATCATGTTCATTCTTTCTAATAATCTGTCCTTATTGAACTACTGGTAGAGCTCTGAGCCTGCAGAGGGATGTAGGATGGAGTTGCTGAGAAACAGGACTCAGAACATGATTCACTTTAAGTTCAGTAAATTAACTTTAATGTTTTATTTTTTTAAATGTATTATAGTAAGTACCATATTATATCTCCAAAGGTTGATTCTGTTCATCTGGACGTAGCATTTTCAGTGGGAGAAACGTTTCGTCACTCATCCAAGTGACTTCCTCAGTCTCAGCTGACTGCAGGTTTCCCCAATCTTAAAAACAGTACATTTGCATAATGACTGAAACCTGCCCACTGAGGGACCAATGTGCTGAGAAGTCAGTTCCTTCATTATGATGAATGCATTTAGCTGAGACTGAAGAAGTCACTTGGATGAGTGATGAAACGTTTCTCCCACTGAAAATGCTACGTCCAGATGAACAGAATCAACCTTTGGAGATTTACTTACCTGGATGATTGAGCATGCATCAAGACGATACCATATTATATACTTTAAAGTTTATAATCGTCACATGAGTTATCTTTCACCAATGCTAGATTCAGTAAGAAATGTCCAAAATAAGATTAACGATAAAAAAGTCCACTTGGTTTGAGAAAATTGGTGTTGAGAGTAGGACTTTACCTGGCCTGATGGGTGACAAAGGTCTGAATGGCAATACAGACTCCCAGCAAAATGAACAGTATCCACAGAGAGTGATGCCTGCTGTGCAGCAATCTCTTCCTCTTCACAAACCTACAAAAACGTATACACACAGACACACACAAACACACGTGGGAATGATATTTAAATGGATAAGGTGACTGTTGCCACGTTGTATTGAGACTGGGTTATGAGAAAAAACTAAGTGACACGTTGCCACAGACACCTCCTAGTGCTTAAACTGCCTCGGAGTAAAACAATTAATTAACTCTTGTACAATGAATTTTCCATTTTAACAGAGGCCACACACAAAAAACCGTGCCAACCACTGGGTTGTATGTTGTTTTTGTTGTATGCATGTTCTTTATTGATAAGATTTTGGTTGCTCAGCTGTACAGTTCACTTAAAGCTCAAAATAACTGCAAATTATGAACTCATTTAACATTTGCCAATAGAACTAGAGTATGGGAACCTACTCCAAATTAAACAAAATGCAATGTATATACCTCATTTTCATTCTAATAAATGCCAAAAGTATGCAATTTTATTTTCATTATTTTTTCCTTTTTAAATAAATATTTTTCTCAGTATCAATAGCATGAGTAGAAGCATCACCTTTACCTTCCCTTAAACTAAGAACTGCTAGTCTGTGCACAGTCCTAAAAATTGGCAACCATATTGCCAAGGGATTTAGATTTTTTCGCTGAGAAACAAATCTAGCCACATGTGGCCTTCGTTTCTAAAGTAAACTAAATTTGTACATGTTGCTGATCATATGTAAAGATGTAGGATTAATTATATACATTCTTCTGAATAAAAATATCACGAGAGACAGTCAAGGCCCGTGGGCCACATCCGGCCTGGCGTACATTTATATCCGGCCCGCGAGATCATTTTATATAGATGTACTATTATTGTTATGCATGGCCTTCCTATTAACATAGGAAAAAAAAAAAAGCACAACAGGTCTATAGAGACATATGGTCGTCTTTGGATAGTACAAAGCATTCAAAAGCATAAAAGGTCCCATTTGTAGATGAGGCGCTAATAATATACTACAGATCCCATAATGCAGCGCTGTAGCCTCCTTGCTGAACGCTGGGCTAACTGGGAACATTCCCGTGTCAATCAGTAGTGATGTGCCATACCACTGATTTCCTTTCCGATCCAATACCAAGTAAAATTCAGGGTGGTATCGACGATACTGATCCGATGCCGATACTTTGTACAAAAACGAATTGTATTTATTTTATCTCAAATTATAGCGTCATAATGATTACAGGACATCAGATTACTTGTTCTTATCACTTAATAATGCAGAATTCATCATATAGAAATAAAAAAGCTGAATTGTGCGATATTTGAACACCTTGCCTGCCTGCAGCACTAAAGGACTCCGTGAGAGACGTCTGTCTCGCCCTAGCAGCACCTGTCCCTCTCCTCCTCTTCAGTTCACCTCAACATACCCTCGTCATATTCTGTGATACGATTTACTCTGAGGTGTTTGACAAATTTGTGGTGTTGCCACAACACCTCACTTTCTTGCCACATGTATCGCAAACCACGTCTTAGCTATTTGTGGATGTAAAATACGTCCACACATAACTCCAGTTACGCTCAGCCATTGTTGTGAGTGTGCACGCCAAGGGGCTGCAAAACATTTATACAGCTGTATTTCGCACATGACTATGAAAGGCGGAAGAGAAAGTAGTTCCTTCCAATGTAGACAATCCGAATGAAGTAAGTTCTTTCCACTGTGTGTTAATGATAAACTACAAATTTAGCCTAAGTTACTAAAGTATTGATATTTTAATGTGAGAATCGATTCTAGAACATAAATGACTAGTATCAGAGGAATCGATATTTCAGTATTGAGCCGCACATCACTATCAATCAAGACAAACTTCTGTTATTGCGAAGCTAGCCGCTCACAATGGCGAAGAGAAAAGTTGATTCTGAAAGCAGAGCCTTTCAGCGCCAGTGGGTGACTGAATATATGTTTACAGACATTGCTGGTAAACCCGTGTGTCTTATTAGTGGAGCTAATGTGGCTGTAATTAAGGAATTTCATTTAAGACAGAACTTCGAGACAAAACGTCAGGATAAGCTGAAAAAC